TCCCGTCAGAATTCTGACCGCAGTTCCAGGTGGAAGGGTGTCGAGTTCACGTGTTCTGTGGCGCTCGTCATATATTGTTGGCGCATCTTCTCCTTGTGTAAGTCATTTCTGGAGCGAAAGTTGGTGGTGTCCCAACGAGGTTGGAGAGATTCGGGCTTTACTGGCACGTTTGTGCGCAGTCTTCGTCCCATGCCATCGCACGCTGGGCCAGCAATGCCTTGTGGATGTCTGTCGATTTTCTGAGAAGTTGCTTAGCCGTTTGGACTGTCCTCTCGGCCTCCCCCTTGCCCTGTGCACAGTGCGGGCTTGACGTTGATTGGGTCACTCCCCACTCCATCAGAAACACAGCGAATGCGCGTGAGGCAAACTGCGGTCCGTTGTCTGTTCGTAGAATTTTCGGCGCTTCATATCGTGCAAACATTGGGTCGAGGACGGCGATGATGATGATCTCGCGACAATAACAACTTGTTTGTCCAAAAGCAAGGGATATGGATCGGGTCACGAGTCGCGCCAGTGTTGTGTGACATATTCTTAGCTGAATGTGACAAAGGAATATCCGAGGGCTTAGACACGGGAGGAAACCTCAAAGTTTTCCGCTACGTGGATGATTTTTGGTACTTGTGCCACATCCCCATGTCTCTATCGACGACATTATCAATAAAATGATAGATGTTTTTTTCACTCTAAATCACATGGCCAAACCTTCACCCATCAAACTGTGGTGTCAAAACGGCTGCAGTTCTCGGATTTAAACTTACACTTCGACAAGGACCACATATGCTGGAGGTACCAGCCACTCTCGAAGAAAGGCGTTTTGCCTTTTTCGTCTGTTCACTCCAAATTAGTCAAACGAGGAATTGTGTCGTCGTTGATGAGAGCCTCCCTAGACAAGTCGTGTAGCCATAACATGGGCGAAAGCTTTCTCGATCAGGTGCGACGCCTTAAAACGGCGGGCTCTCCAGAGCGTTTTTTGAAGGAAGTTGCAAAAACCCTAATTTCAAAAGTTAAAAAAAAAAAAAAACGAAGCGGGAGCGGTCGATTAGAGAAAAAAAAAGACAAGACCGGTGGTAATCCCCTACGTCCACGGGCTGTCCCACAACCTAAAAAGAGTCGCCGCACACTTTGAGTTGTCCGTGGTGTTTTATGCGCCGTCAAAATATTTCAGTTCGTGCCCAAAAGCCAAAAAAAAAAAAAAAAAGAAAACGGAGGCTTGCGTTAAGAACCACGCCGCGCAGTACGCAACGTCAGTTGTCTACGAAATACCTATGACTTGCGGAAAAGCTTATATAGACCGACACGCTGTTTACAAACAAGCCCGCGTTTGCCCACACCAGGTGTGGGCACTGCGCGTGCGCAGAATCCGAATTTACGTGAAGTGAGACGTCTGCGCATGCGCCATGCCGTCGACAGCGCCACCGCAGTTGCGTGACATCAAGGCCGCGTGTTGGTCTATAGGGTAGACGGGAGGTGCATCAACGACAGAGCGCGCGAGCAATCTGTTAGAAGTTCCCAATCGGGTAATCTAGCAATTCACTGTGATAGGTGTCCGTGTGCGCCTAATCTTGACGAAACAAAAATAGTTGGAAAACTAAAAAAGCAAAACTGAGAGAGAATTGTTCGAGGCCTGCTGCATTAGAGTAAAGGGCGAGGATAGCTGCGTGAGTGCACCGTCAGTGCATTAAACTGAGAAAGAGTTTTCCTTTTTGTGTCGGGAGCCTGAAATTGTGTGCAAATAATAAGTGTATTTCAATAAACGTTCAGCTGTAAGTTAGCGCTTGGTCCTGTCTCGTTTTCCTCGTGTCCTCGTTTTTTTTGGCGCTTTACAAGTCCGGTATTCGTGCAACGCGCTGGTTCTCTAGAAGTTGGGGAATCCCAAGCCCGTGTCCGGTTCTCTTCGACACATGCCCCGATAAACACTGACACTTGTCCTCCACGAGAAAATTGACACCAAACCCCCCCCCCCCCCCCCCCTCCCCCCTTCCAAAAAAAAAACTGAAAACAAGTTTGAATTACAAGAAAAATACGTTTTCCGGCGCCCGAGCAAATAGGTAATGAGGCGTAAAAACAACTGACGGCGATGAAGACGCTGAGACGTTTTTTCCAGACGATCTTCAAGATGGCCCACTCCCCCGAGAAGGTGTGTCTCGCACTGCACACTAGGTCTTGCGTGCGGGTTTGCAGAATGTCGATGATGACAATCCTCGAGAATGACCAGGCTCTCATGCTCTCCAGTCGTGGCATCTCCTGAGAGCGCGAAGCACGGAGCAACAAATGCAAATGTATATGAGCGCGCTTTCACGAAAAACGCTCGGAACTTATGCGGAACGTAGCCGCGCCCCTGAACATCGGACGTTGAACGTGCGCGACCAAGAGAAGCGCTGTGGTCGTCATTCCCGATTGGCCAAAAACGCTCATTACGACCTATTTAGTTGGATTCATTTTGCTGTCATCGACGGAAATAAGAAGATTTTAATACCTTATGCAAACGGCGATAATAGCCTTTGAGAACACGTGGAAGGTTGTACGAAAGCGAAGCACAACAGGAAGAAGGCACAACTCGTCGAATGCAAGTCTCACCGGACCGCGGCGTGATCGAAGCTTCCTTGTCACGCCGAAGTGCTGCGTTTCTTTGCCTTTGCTCGCTTGGATAGCGATAAAGAATCGACGTCGTGGCAGCGTTTTGAAAGTTTGTCGCGCGTAGATGTCTTTGCATCATATATCGTCTACGGAGTTCTGGATCGTCCAGCTGTTACGGCGAGTTGCTATCGATAAAGCACCCCGCGGAACCAAATTACATTGTCACTTATTTGAATGATTGAAGTTTTGCGGTCGGGGGAAACGAGAAAGGGGAGGTGCACAGAAATAAAGATTTCTGTGAAGTGCCTTAAAGGGATACTGAACCAAGGAATTTGGTGTCCATAATAAGTGGCGCATGTTCTTTCCACGATCCAGCAGCCGCCGGTGTGCGCGAGCACACGCAACAGAAATGCCGTCACAGACCTCCATTCGTGGTTGAGATGACAGTGAAATGAATGGGCTTCGGACCAAAGGAGAATAAAGACAAGTTTTTCATCTACACAGTGGTGCCTGGTGTAAAAAGTAAGCGATGAATTGGTCTAACAAGCACGTAGCTTTCACTTGTAGAGATGAAAAGCCTGTCTTTATTCTCCTTTAGTCCGAAGCCCATGCATTTCACTGTCATCTCAACCTCAAATGGAGGTCTGTGACGTCATTTTTGTTGCGTGTGCTCGCGCACACCGGTGGCTGCTGGCTGGTGGAAAGAACGTGCGCCACTTATTATGGGCACTAAATTCTTTGGTTCAGTATCCCTTTAATAGTAAAAAAAAAAAAAAAAAAAAAAAAAAACGCGCGCATTTGTTTTTTTTAATGCTCCCTCTCTCTTTTATCGTCACTGGATAGGGTGTTTTCACGTGACGTCAATCCGCCATTTTGTTGCTCGTTTTTTCAAAGGAATTTACTAATTTGAAGGATTACATCGAAAAAAAACTGCTAAGAAGATGTCAGCGTTTTAATACTTATAAGCCTCTATGCTCTACGCATTTGAGTGGTCTTGTATATACTTAGAATGCTCACCTTCGGCACACGCCAGGCAGCTCCCAACAACAAAATGGTAGACAAAATTACGTTAGTGAAAACTCCCTATACTGAATCAGGCTCGTCTCTGGACCGCGAGTGCCGCAAGTTACAGAAGCAGTCGTCAGAGCAAAGTAAAACGCTACTCCAGAGGGGCATACGTCTTTACACAGATTGCACTCGCGAAACACCATGGCGTCGATAATTGATCGGTATCCAAGCGTGCGAAGGCACAGAGCACAGCACTTCAGCGTGCCAATTGAAGTTTTGATCACGTCGCGAGACCGGCGAGACTTGCGTTCGACGAGTTGCGTCTTTTTCCTGCGGTGCAGCGCTTTCGTAGAAATTTATACGTGTTTTAAAATGAGATTATCTCCGTTTACACAAGGTTTTAAAAAAACTTCAGCAAATGACGACGAGCGAGTAGAAAGCGCCTCTTCAGCACGCTGCCGTCGCGCTTCTGAAACGATCCAAATGGCCGAATTTGCTACATGCAAGATGGCCATCCGGTGGCCGCACTTGCACTGCAGCGACCAAGCGGGGATGAGAGATCGGTGGTCTAAATCCCGTCTAAACTATAGAGAACGGCTTGTGACCATGGAGAAGACAGAGTGAGCACGACTCAAACCGGCCAGCTCTCGATCGGGGGTGTTCGGGCGGAAAGAAGACGAATTTCGAGCCGCAAATCTTGTTCAGGGTATAGTTGGACTCTCATATATATGGCCTGTTCAAATAAAAACCTTGGTGAGCATAAATACTCTGTCAGTGTCCCTTTAACGGGCACCCGTATATTTAGCATAGTTACAATGTCCACTCGTACGCCTAGCAAGTTAGCTAAACTGAACCAGTGCACTTTGCGATTGCCGAACTGCCCAAAGCAGGAACAGCTCGGTGGTCTCTGACCAGAACTTTTGTATTTTTGCATCCACGCCTTCATAAGCTCTTGACTTCACAGGAATGATCAATACTCCTGCCTCAGCAATTCATCGTTAATTGAAAAAAAAAAGACTCCTTGCAGCACGCCCATAGATCAGGGTGCCTCTTTATATAAGGAAACTCTCAAAATTTTGTCTTAATCCTGCAGGTAGAATCGGGAAACACTTTGTTGTCTGCTGTTTCATCTCATGGAACGCATCCTGTATTAACAAACGTCGCGACGCATGCCCAGTTTCTCAAGGGGACCGCAGATTGGTTGTTATGAAACCCAGAGATCGGTTGCAGAAACGTTTCCTTTTAAATTTTAAAGGGGTGCCCGCCTAGGCACCTGCTCGACGTTGGCGTCTCACGGCGCAAAAACGCCGTGAGAAGCGCACCACACGCGGGCTGGCCTGCCTACATGAGATGTGCTGAGGTTGGAGGTAAATCAAAATCATAAAATAAAATGTAAATCAATCTTTCCTTTTTAGCAACAGCCAGAAGCTCCGGTCATGGATTCGTCTGCCACGTTCACCTGTTCAGAGCCATTCTCGTTCACGGATAGCGCCGAACAAGTGCAGCCAACGCTCACGTGGAGCGGAAGTCCTCCGTCGGACCCCATGGAGCTCGAGGTTCAGCGGATACCGCAGGCAAGAGGACGACCCGCCATGCTTCGAGAACCCTTCGCGTATTTCGAGTGAATTGAAGAGTTTGCCAGCGGAGCGCAATGCCGTTTCAATGAGAGTTTTCGTAGATTCTTCCGATGCCTCCGATACCCCCGATAACGATACCCGATAACGATACGATGCATGCGCAAAGGCGGCGGTGTAGTATCTGGTATCGGTATCGGCGTCATTGAAACTATCTACTAAAACTCTCTAATAGGGAGCTTTCGTAGATCGTTTCCGCCGTTTCGCCACGTTTTCCGCAACCCGGTACGAGACGCGGAACTCCGCAGGCAAGGTTGGCGATGCGCATGCGCTGTAGTGGCATCTCTGTTGCGGAGGGCGTAGCGAAGGGCGAGAAACGGTGTACAAAACTCCCCAAGAAATAGTTTTGGTTTCGTAGACCGTTTTGCGACCTCCACTCGGAGTGGCCTATCATCATGTAGCGAGTGTAGGTAGTGCCATCGCAGGGTGAAACTTGAAACGGCCAGAATAACTAGGACAGTATACAAACCTTTTTTGTTAACGATTCCCTGACTGGCGTCAATAAGTATAGGCCTAAGAGAGGATTAGTGGCTCAGTACTGAGCCACTGATCTTCTCTTAGGCCTATACTTGTTGGCGCTAGTCAGGGCAGGGCCGTAACCAGGGGGGGGGGGGGGGTTAGGGGGTTCTGACCCCCCCCGAAATTTTTTTCTGGGTACGGCCCTGGTCGGTGCACTTGCAGCCAGCCGATTTTAATCTCCACCTCTGCGCACGCGCAGTGGCACCGGTCGGCTACCGGGTACCAAACCGGGACCGATTCTTCGGTTTGCTATGACTCTCCATTATATGCCACCAATGCACATGATTCATAGGCGAAAATAAGACAAAATGGCCGCCGTTGTCCCCGAAAACCCCCCCCGAAATTTTTTTCTGGGTACGGCCCTGAGTCAGGGAATCGTTAAAAAAACGGGTTCGTATACTGTCCTAGTTAGTCTGGCCGTTTCACAATGACATTTATCAGAATAAGGCTTATAGGCCTCATTCTGATAAATGTCCATGTCGGTACGCACTCGAGGGAACACGGGAGGTCCATCCTGCTGATACTCAACGTAGGCAACGTTTACTACTTTTAGGTCTCTTTCCTGTTCCTTTCGCATTTTTTTTTTAAACTAGCTTGATTGGGCCGTGAGTTTGAACTCTCACTGAACGCCCTCTAATTTTAAAGCCCATCTGTTTTGTTGTCTTCGCCTTGCAGATGCCTTTGTACCTCCAAGGCGCCCTTTCTGCGGAACAGCGTGAAGTGCTCAAAGAAATCCAGTATGGTTCAAGAGGGCAAAGCGGCGCAGTAGCAGGGGTGACGAGGGGGACGAGAGCAGGAATGGCGGAAAGCAGCAGTGGTAGAGGAGGAGGAAGAGGTAGTGGTGGAAGTGGTGGTGGAGCTGGAGCTGGAGCTGGAGCTGGAGGTGGAGGTGGAGGTGGAAGTGGAGGCGGAGGCAGGGGTGGAAGTGGAGGAGGTGGTGGTGGTGGTGGTGGAGGTAGAGGAAGTGGAATTTCGCGAGAAAAGAAGAACGATCCCGTATTCCGGGAGGCAGTCCGGAGCTATGTGAACCTGATCATCGAAGATGCCGCAGGAATTGCTCAAATCTTGATGGAAACGTCGCGAAGGGACACTGAGGGTCACGCCACAACGTTGCACAAGTGGGACTCGGGAGTAGTGGCCGAGGTAAGCGGTTTAGACATCTCAGAGGAAATGCCATTTTTAAGCCATTTCTTTTACTGAAACATTCTAATTTGTAAATTTACGGATATACAATGTACTGTCCCGCTCACGTGTTGCGAATTTTTCTGTTCAAATAAACCACGAAATAATTTTCTTCCGTTCGCTAAATAATATACGAACTTAAATTCTAATGCCCGTGAAAAGTAATTAGATGCGCTTATAGGTTTCTCGCTCGCACTTCCTTCAAAACGTCTAGACGTGTACTTTCCCGTAGATCACTGAGGGAGTCAATCACTGCGATCAGCAGGCAGGCTGGGCGAATGGCGGTTCCGGAAAAGTTAAATCTGAATACTTTGTCTGCGATTTTACACTAAGCATGCGCGTGAAACGCCATGTTGCAAACTTAGTTTCCATACGCATCCGACGCTACAAAGTAATGAGACAAGCAGCGTAAAAAGCGCTAGTCGTTAGGTCTTTTCTGTTCATGATTGGTTCAGCGATAATAGAACGCGTACGGAAACATGACGAAGACCATGATGGTGCACTTCTGACGCTGTCTGATTGGTCCCATCAGTTCGTAGCGTCGGCTGCGTCTGGATTTAAAAGGGGAGGCGAATTATATTTCCCCGAGCTCATTTCGTCGATCACAGTGATTGGGTTTCTAACTGCTCTGCAAGAAAGTAGTCATGAGGCGTTTTGTTGCAGCATAAGGGGTATCCACACGGAGGAGAACTCCGCGGACGGATGTTGTGACGTCAGCAACCCGGGAAACTCCGTGCTCGGCTCTGCCGCCCACCTGCGGAGCTCTCGTGCTAACAGTACGAAGCCTCCACGCCTCCGCCACGGAGGAGAACGGCGCCACGAGACGTCAAAAAGGAATGACGTATGTCTCACGTGATGCGCGCTCCGCGGAGGAAAGTGGCGGATTTCTCCTTCGTGTGGATACCCCAATAGTGAGCGGTCTTCTCTGGACATTATTACGCTTCGGAGATTTCCGTCACCACACTGATTAGTAACGATCGAACACGAAGCAGATAATCGGCCGACGCATTGATAGCTCCCGAGCACTAGCCGAGCGATGGCGTTGTGCTTGGGTTCAATCCGTGAGCCGCATTCGGCTGCAACGGCTTGGCGTCGGATTTAAACGCACCGACTTTGGATGCACTCATCGTCCTTTGATGCTCCACGAAAGAGTAAAAAGGAGGCTGCCTCTGATTTGGCGCGTGGCACTCTTCTCTAAGTTATGAACCGAATATAACAGTTTTTTCTTTTAAAGATAAAAAAAAAAAAAAAATACACCTTTTTTTATCGCTGTAGAAGTTGAATGTCTTGTCATTACGTATGTTCTAGTTTGTGAAATATTACATTTTATTCTATTTTATTTAAACCGAGTATCCTTTTATGGTTTTTTAAAATAATTCATTGACTAAAAACATGTCATAATCGAGGCGTTTTTATTTTATTTCATGTTACACAACTGTGTCTTGGCTTCACTGACACTCTAGCATGTGTAGTATTTTTCCATGTACTAAATAGGTCTTTTGAAAATCGTCGTTCATTATATTAGCCGACTGCGCGCTACTATCGGCTAGACACCAAGTGTCAATGCACCACCACAACTTTCCCTGGACGTGATGTCATGAGAAGAATGACTATCTGGTTTCTCAAAACCATGCAGTTTCTGTTTCATGGACAGATGTATTTTCGGATGATTCGAGGGGAACATATTATGACCGGACCTTGTTCTGGAAGGCGGGAAACGTATACGAGTTTATATATCACCATCCTTTCCAAACCATTTCTGTTTACGTTCTGCACGTTGGCATTAGAGCGGCCTTATATTTTTTTATTTTCCGAAATTCACCGGTCATCAAAAATTGCTTCCTCGATATAGTGCTCAATTTGCACTAATCAGACCGGGTACCCCTCCCTGGGGAACGCAGAGCACCCCGGGTATGGCCCTCGACCTCCCCGTAGTCCAGGTCGTGCCCCTCGCTGTAAAAGACGACGTCGAGGTCGGCTCTACGGCGAGTCGTAAAGTCAAGCCGTCGATGCGGAAGGCGCTGCTCTTCAAGCTGCTTCCCCGCAAGTCCTCCGCGCAGCGGAGCCAAGGCGAGTCAATGACCCAGAGCGTCTTCGACAAGGACGACGACCGAAGCCGGCTCAGCGTCAAGTCCAAGTACTCTAACTGGAAGAGTGTTTCGTTCCTCACGCAGATCATCGTAAGAATTTGAGTCTGAAATTTTTTCAGCAACTATAAACGTTTGCAAGAAAGGCTCCCGTGCGCTGCCATTTTGAACGATGCTGGCGCCGTGTAACGTTTCCGCCATGTTGGGTTGTGCTGTGGGCCACGTCATTGGGGTGCGCGAATCTTGACCAACCAGTAAATGCAGTAGACATGACGAGTTCTGTGACGTGTGTGGGCATGTGAAAGAGAAAGTCGTTAACGTGGCCAAGGGCGCGAAAAGGCTTGGCCCGGCCAAGGATTGCTGGGCTTGCTCTGAAAAAGGTGTATTATTTGTGTAGGCAGCCTATCTACAGCTATTGCGGGTAGGCTGTATACACTGTTCCTTAAAGACGTCAGCGCGAAGTGCACCTTGGTAGCGGACTATTTGCCTTATCGGAGGAACAATGGTTGGCGGCAATGAGGGTGTAAAGGATCTTCTGGCGCATTATGCGATTTAAGCCTCAATTTCTTTTTCTGAATTGTTTGGTTCGTTACATGGTTTGGGTAATTTATTTAATCGATGCGCTTTTATTTTGGGTAAAAAAAAGAAAAACACCTGTAAGTTTCAACAAAAAAAAGAAGAAGAACAACTTGAGTTTTTGTGCTTAGTGCCGTATGCTTCGGCAAGAGACGCTTGGCAACATTTTACAACAAGCAGTGAACGTTGGAAAGTAGGTCCGCCATATTTCGCCGCGCGGTTTGATGTTAAAGGGGCGATGCAACAATTTTTGTACTTTGCGCAAATACCGCTTAAAACGGATCCCTGACGTTAATGACCTATGAAACACGCGTTCATTTTTCACCCCACGTAATAGAAGTTCCAGAAAAAAATTAAAGAAAAACGAGCACCGTTCACCCCCTCAACTCGCAGCCAGAACAAGCGTCCACCTGATCTGGAGTCGATTATATGCCGCCAATGTTGATCATAGCCACGCGCTGGGGTTGGCAAAGCACAGGACACGCGCTGAGTTCCAGAAATTGTTATGGCTCGGCTATTGTCGTCGTTGCAGCGATTGGACACGGGCCACTACCCGAATGCATGTCGAGGCATCGATTGTCACGAGCCCAGATCGAATGCGTACGCAGTCTTCGCGTCCACTGTGTGAGCAGCATTTGAATATCGTCACTGCAAAGCTCAATGACGCATTCCTGGGAATCGTGCTGTTGCCATTTCCCCAGAGCTCCGTCATCGAATTTCGCGGAGCAAAGGGCGGCTTTGGAAGGAGAGACTGAAAGAAAAGCTCCGCTTTCATCCTTTGAATTCCGCCGCGACGAAGACACTTCTTGGTCAGTGGTGTTGCGTTCGAGTATTCTTAGGTCCCAATAGTGCCAGGAAGCTGGTGTAAAGTAAGAAATATTCCTAGCCAATGTCGTTGCACAGCCCCTTTAAGCCGGGATCTCGCTTGCAAAGGTGTGTATTTTTCGTTTCAGCTAAAGTGAGACCTAGCCGACGCTACGAAGCAATGGGACCAATCAAGTACAGTCAAAAACGCAAGTCACTAGGCCTTTTTTGTTTATGATTGGTTCAGCAAAGCACGTACAGAAACATAATAAACACGATGACGGTGCGCTTTTATTGATGTCTGATTGGCCCCATGAACTTGTAGCGTTGATTGCGGTTTAAGGGGGAACGAAGTATACACGCATTTGTTTTCCATGGGGTAAAAAATAAAAACCGATATGGATTTGAATCGTGATTTTAGTTATACCTCATATCGTGATTTAATTATGATTTATATAGTTATTCAAATAATGACTTAAACCATCATGTAATTCGCAGCGGTTTTACTGTGATAATATAAGTTAAACATGTGCCACCAAAAACAGCCTCGAAAATTGGACGGTATCACTTAAATTCAAACAAATCGTTTTTTCCCTCGTTTTTAAAAAAAATATATTTGAAAGTTTATACATGTTCAGCTTTGAATGAAATAAATAACAAAGTAGCGGAAAAGGACGGTTGGGTTTCGACGATAGCCGTCTGTGACATATTTGATTCGCGCTCGATCTAGAAAGAACTCCCGACAGATTCTCAATGCGTTTTTAGGATAATATTTGTCCAATCCAGTAAGACAGCATTTAAACTCGTGTTCCTTTATTTGTAGCTCAGATTTTTTTTTTAATTCCGAATTATGCTTTTGACGACAATTTTGACAGATTGATGATACAGCGCGCTATAAACAAGGACCGAGGGTGGGCAGTAGGTGACGACAGCTGAACTTGAACTAAAATTGAAACCACGAGCAACAAAGAAAGCAACCACACCATAATCGCGTTTCGTAAGGAGGAAGTGCTCATTATGGGAAGGCAGAGCCTACAAAACAGTGACGACCATTGGAGGATATTTTTAGACTTGCTGTTCGGGACGAAACTGAAGTAGTCTCAAGCCCAAACTATTCGAGGTGGTACATAACCTAAAAACTCAGTACAGATTTTTTTCTTTCTTTTCAGGCGGAATATTCGAAGAGTTTTACTGTAGGCGGCTGAAAATTAAACAAAAGTAATCCAAAACAATTTAGGGAACAATTATTACCAAACCATTGGATATTTGTTTTCTACTAGATTTTAAAACTGGCGTCGAGACCAGGATTTGTATCGCCATGACCTCACGGGTCTTGACTACTTTTTATCAATTCAAGCACGATGGAAACTTGAAGTGTTCTTAAGCCAACACAATCAAAGCTGGCCGGCTTACATTGCTCTTATGTCCATCGGTGACAGCAAGATTAATCCAACTAAATAGGTCGTAATGAGCGTTTTTGGCCAATCGCGAATGACGACCACAGCGCTTCTCTTGGTCGTGCACAATCAACGTCTGATTTTCAAGGGCGCGGCTACGTTCCACATAAGTTCCGAGCATTTTTTTGTGAGAGCGTGCTCATATACATTTGCATTTGTCGCTCCGTGCTTCGTGCTCTCAGGAGATGCCACGACTGGAAAGCATGAGAGCCTGGTCATTCTCGAGGATTGTCATCATCGACATTTTGCGAACCCGCACGCAAGATCTAGTGTGCAGTGCGAGACACACCTTCTCGGGGGAGTGGGCCATCTTGAAGATCGTCTGGAAGAAACGTCTCAGCGGCTTCATCGCCGTCAGTAGTTTTTACGCCTCGTTACCTATTTGCTGGGGCGCCGGTAACGTATTTTTCTTCTAATCAAGGCGCTTTCTTTTTCCGTTTTCTTTTTTTTTTCTTCTTTTTTGACAGATTTGGTGTTTTTCAGTGTCAATATTCTGGCATAGGACAAAAATCACTGTTTATCGGGGCATGCGTGTAATAAATCCGGACACGGGCTTGGGATTCCCCAACTTCCAGGGTATACGCGCAATACACGAATACCGTACTTTGCGGTCTAGTCCGCAGATTGCACGTGTTTGAAGGTTTAAATTTTACGCGGTACGGACTTGAATTTTTCTTTTCAAGGTCGTTGATTACGACTAGACTCAACGAATTTTGCGAATGACAGAGTATGCTTTAGTTGCGATTTAATGTATAAACAAGCTTCTTTGTGAGCTAAAAAGGCAGGCATTTGACAAGATGTGCTGTATATGAGATTTTCATGTTGACTAAGCACCAGGGTGCGGACTTTCTAAGCAAAACTATTTCACTTTCGACCACACCCCAGTGTAGGTGAGAGGAATGAAGAGGCAATCTCCGAATCTGGGGCAGTTGGGGGATGGATTCCCTAAAATCAGTAGCTTCATGGACAAGTTTAGTGAGGCGTGCGTTCCGGGTCAGCACAACATGCAGCTGTAGACAAATATTTAATCCCGTTAAGCTTGGACTATCTTTCCAAACTCCAGCTCGTTTTTTTTTTTTATCGGTTTTACCCTATTTTATTATCCGGCTCAGGAGATAATTTTCGGCGTTTTTGCTTTATGCACCCTCCAGACTTTCGCACTTTGATTTTCCTTCGTAAGCGGTGCATCTATTTCGAGACGTTCAGGGGAACAGTTGCAGTACGGTGCCCGGAACGCGGCTTCGACTGCTGTGCTTACCACGTCCGAAAAAGTGGTCCCTGGATTTTCGCTTGACGACGTCACAAGAGTGTCATCTCGTCGCCGGCCGCGATCTTTACTGTGTCACACCCTGGATGTGGCAGCCGCCTGTTTTTCTGCAAGCCTCTTTCTCTAGCTTGTCAGTTCATGGAAGCTTCAACGGCCAGGAGGTTGGACACCACGACGACAGCGACACCTTGCGTTCCTTCGTGCTTTTCCCCAGAACTTCTACGCCCAACCGCCAGGATGGCGACATCCGACAGCATGACACTCCGGCTTTTGTGTCGTCATTTGTCGCCACTTCGGGACCATTCTCCATGCAAGGGCGGAATAGGAATCCCGTTGGAGACGTGTTCCAGGCGCCGTAGTTGTAGGATGACGTGGAATAACGTCCCTAACGCAGTAAAAAAAAACATCGAGGGAGTTTAACTTGGACGAGGGATAAATCGGATGAACAGTCGTGATTTGTGGTGCCGCCAACAATGTCTGTCGCCCCCCCCCCCCCCCCCCGCCTCCAAACCACAAAAAAAAAAACAAAAAAAAAAAAAAACGAGGAGGGGAATTGGAGCTTGGAACGGGGATTTAGCCACTTTAATAATTATTTTACTTATTCACAACGTATCCCACAGCGTCGAAGAATCAAAACGGGGTACGGGCTTTAAACCAGATATAAAAATGAACTTGTACCCCTACGTACATGTACGTTAATTATTTCTGGTGATTTATGAACGATATAAAGATACAGAAGCGTGACTGATTGAGAGTCAGGCGCACGACTGATTGAGAGTCAGAAGCATGACTGATTGAAAGTCAGATGCAAAATTCACCTCTACGTCCTCCTTATCGTGACTCAAAAAGCAATAAATATACTAGACTCGTAAATTGCAGATGCCTGTTCAACAGATTGCGTGTCTATTTCGCTCTAGAAACGGAGGTATATCCTTAGAGAGCGGAGGCACTGGGAAGCGCTCTCTGAATGTCAGTTCATCGTTGGGCTCAAGTCGTTCTTCGCCACCAAGCAGTGGTTCGTACACTCTTAACATATGCATTGACCACAGAGGTCTTGTCTGTTTCGTCATCGTCATATCCTAACGCTGAAAGCATAGAGCGCGTATGGAGCGCGACCGAGCGTTCGAAAGACACGCCCTGCCGTTTTCGCTATGTCAGTGAATATAGACGCTTTCAGGCAGCTGTGCATGGGCGCCGCCATAACCGACCTTCAGTTTTTCTTCCCTCTTATTCCGTTCGCTCCACTTCATCATTACCACAGCAGGACAGGTTATTGCCATGTGAAGTGTTACTGTGTCCTTCTCCCCAGCATAGGCCCTTGTGGAGATTCGTCAACGCCCGCTTCAGTGGCTCGGCATCTCGGTAAGACAAGAGAAGGTCGGCTATGGCGGCTCGATTCGGCGCGCGCTGAAAGCGTCTATATGTTTATTGTAGTCGTCTTGCTCTGGCTAAATTTCTTGCCTACAGGAGAGCATAAGACACCCGTGACGCCACCGGACATCACACTGTGCGGTGGCATAGGCAGAGGTGAAGTTTCAAAATCTTAACCCCACCAAACAAAAACAAAAAAAGAAACCAGATGGTGACGCATTGCCGTTGTTCATGTTCTTGCGCGACAGCTCGTAGAATGGAAGTGCTGGCTTTCAATTAGAAGCACGAGACGATCGCCCCGTGCGGTCTATGACAAACAGCGTTGGATTTTGGCACCGCTGCGTAAATTACCTACACGTAGAAAATGCATATCTCGTTGGGGACAAAATCGTGACTGGGATGCGTGCATACTGTTTACAGCTACTGTTTCGTGGCCGAGTACTACGAAGGCTGTACCTTGCAGAGCGTGATTGAAGAGGGCGCCCTCAGAGACGACGTTATTGTGAAGATAGTTTCCCAGCTGACCTACGCTTTGAAGCACATTCATGACAGAGGTTAGTAACTTCTAGGTTTTTAACTTACTCTATATTCATCTCACATGCATGTTCCCGAGAAGTTAACGTTGAATAATTGATAATATATAACCGAAGAATTAACGATTGCATAGGTCTCAAAGTGCATAGAGATGTTTCTGATCAGGTGGCAATCTGCTCTTTTCAAATTCATTTTTTTCTGAGCGGGATCATGCTCAGTGATAAGTGCCTTTGAGGGCTTTACATTTAGGGCGCGTTCACTCATGTCGCAGCAGACGTGCGACAACTATTGCCGCAAAGCGACAGTCGCAATCGCAAAAGAGACCAGTCAGTAGCTGTCGCTTCCAGACCATTCATTCCTTCATTCATTCGCGATGTGGAGAGGATTGTCAAGGTTCGCTCGGGCGAACATTAAACCGACACGCTTCCAGGCCGATTTTCGCGACCAGTCGCCGAATCGCCTGGCGGCTGAACCAATCAGCGGCGCCTCGGAAGAACCATGTGATGCGCCTCGCATTTGTTTACATCCGGCACGCCGAACTTCTCTATCAAGGGAGAAGCAACCACTGGAACCAACCATTATGCCCGTCCAACGCCTCGGTTCGCGGCAGCAGATCTGGTCAACGCATATATAAAGAATACCAATTCATTGATAAAAACAACCCCCCGTTTTCAAGGAGCCCCCGAAAAAGAACTCGTCCTAGCAGCAAATCCGTGCCACTTCATGACATGTATGTTTTGCGACGCGGTAGCTCGAGCGAGTGCGAGCCGATGTAGCAATTGTACTTCATTGTACGGTTCCGAAGGACCCAGGCCAACATAAGCAGCCTTTTTTATATGGCAACGACGACGCATGTGTAGCTGTGAGAGAACGAAAATGAGAATGCAGCGAAACGCGAACCCTAGTTGTGGCGGAGAGAAGGGAATCGACGGCGGCTCCCGACAGCTTTCGAGAAGCGACTGGCCGGTAGCGGCCACGGATACAGCCATGCAGGTCTCTGGGGCGGCTTTGATCAGAGTACCTATTTTATAACAAGCAGCACCCCTATTCGAACGAGCACCCAAAAAAGAACTTGGCCTGTAAGCAAATCTATGGTTTTTGGCTTGACAGGTCCGCGAAAGCCCCAGCGAGGGAACGCCAGTGTAGCGATTGTGCTTTCATTGTACTGTTCCAAAGATCCCAGGCCAATATCACGAGTCTTTCTGTTGTAGCGAAAACGACGCACGTGACAACAAAAACGGGAAATGAGCGAAACGAGAACCCGAGCTGTAGCGAGAAAGAATGGAAGCAATGTCGACAAGCGACTCTTTGCGATAGCGACTCGCCGATCGTCCTCCTGTGAACGTCGGTGATCGCTAGTCGCTTGCGCGGCTGTCGCGAGTCGCGAGTGTGAACGTGGCTTTAGTGTGAGTTTTTGTAAGAAATGCTTCGGCGACGACGTACGAGCATCCAGATCTAATGGTCCCGACGGAAATGATGAGGGTGCTTGTGCCGTGTCTCAAGCATGCCTTCCCGAAACTTCCGCGTGTATTGGCATTGAACTTGCAGCGTGCGCGGCGCCTTCGGGTCGCCTCTAATTTACTGTTTGATTAAACTTTTACGCAGACATGATGTACAGGAATCTGGCTCCCAGCAACATTCTCATAGACATGAACGGTGTGGCTAGGATCTTCGACATGTCGTTCTGCTCCGTAAGTCGCATTACGAAAATCTGTTAGAGACCATACATCAGGGGAAAAGTGCCGAGTTAGTGCTGTGGAGTGCTGTGGAGGCATGCGCGGCGCCTACTAGTCCGCAGCAGGGACGTATACAGCGCATGCTCAGAATGCGCTCCGCGCAGCCCAGTAGGCAAAGATGGTCACGCGCACGAGGCGATTATGAGAGTGGTCTATTATACAAAGACGCTTCTATCATTTAGAAGGGCAAGACGTCCACTAGTCGCATTGGTTCCATTCCGTACATGGCCCCAGAAGTCTTGAGGATGGAGGTCTATGGTAAGTCTCGTCACTAAGCCACCTCAGCAGGCGACGCTGCTGCATAATGTGCCGCCTTCTTTCTTGACGATCTTGAACTGTCATTTTGCGAAACAGACAGGACATCAGACTACTGGTCGCTGGGAATCCTGACGTATGTCCTCTACGTCCGGCACACGCCGATGTCCATCTATTCTGCCAAGACAGACCTGGACCACTGGGTGGACAAGGCATACATGTACCAATGTGCGTCCGGAATCAAACTGGCGGAGCATTTACAACCTCGCGTTGTGCTCTATGTCTGTGAACGCTTTGCAGATGCCGAGGTTATCCCCATCGTCCTACCCAAGCACATGGCTCCAGCCGCCAAGAGCTTGATCGCTGGCCTTCTGGTCGAGGTGAATGGAATTCATTATCCATGCTTTTCATGTCGTATTGCTTAGGACAAGTCACTATCTTTTAACTCCAAATGGCTGGACTGTAAATTTTCAAACTATCTCGCTATTTGTTACATGATATGTATTGAGTTGGATGAGTATGTAACCACCATCCTCAAAACCAAACCCGTGCAGGATGAGGCAAGAAGGTACCTTCATACATTAAAAAAGTCAAAGCCCTTTACAACTCTCCGTAACGCCGAATTAGAGCGCAGCTCTTGAGGAGGAGGGAAGTGTACTGAGGGGAGGGTATACCCCCCTCCTCCTCCCTCTCCTCCTCCTTCTCCTCCTCCTCCCCTCATTCTTCAATCTCCTCCGGGGGGAGGGGGGGAGTCACGTGACCTCGGGGGGGGGGGGGGGGGTCGCGTGACCTCGGGGGGAAGGGGTCACGTGCCCTCGGGGGGGGGGGGTCACGTGACTTTGGGGAGGGGGTCGCGTGACGCTGGGAGGGAAGGGTCACGTGACCTCGGGGGCCACGTGACCTCGCGGTTACGCCGACGCCGCTCGAGCCGGAAACGGGCCCCTAAAGGCCCTGTCACATTGAGGAAACACGGCGGAAACATCAACAAAACATGTTTCTCAACAGTCGGGAAACATGTCGGCTGTCGGCTGTGTTGCCCGACAACCCTGTCACATTGAGGAAACAGCAACACAACATGGACGACAGCGACAATGTTGTCTCGGTGTGACAGCTTTTGGCAACGGAAACCTCGGCAACTTGTGTCGGACGACACGTGTTGCCCATTTCGGTGGCTGAGCGAATTTGTTTCCAGCAACACGGCAACATCTACATTTTTCTGTACAGATAGTCGCACGAGAATACTTCAATAATTGACAACTCCCCATTTTTAAGCAGCCTCATCGCTATTTGTGTCCGTTTTTTCGATGCGCGATTTCACCCTTGCTAGGAGATCCTCAAAGGAGCCAGTGTCCATCCGAATCCAACGCCGGTAGGACTCGGAATCTTCCCAGAGCCAGCTCCCGCATCAAATTCTCATAGGCACCTTGTTGACGAACTGTTACGAGCTGATCGTCAAAATCACCTGAATCATGGCACAAAAAAGCACCAAGGCAGAAGCTGCTGCTGTGGCCGGCGCGTATGCCATCCTGCAAGGGTATAGCCGTGTAGCAGAACCATCCGCCAAATCCAGAGAACACGAGATGGTTCGCGTGGCTGATGAATCGACTACGGTAGAGCGCCGGCGATGAGACGGCGATCCAAAATGGCAACAATTTAAGGGGCGAGCGGAGCCAGCGGATCTGAGCCTAGCTGCCTATACTTCGTTTCAGCTTCGGTGCAGACGCAGCCGATGCTACAAGCGCGAGCATGTGGCCCAGAACAGTGCTTGCACTGCAAGAGCGCGCGTGCTTGGCAGGGATGCCGGGCAGACGAGGGCGAGAGAGAGGCAGCGCGCAGAAGAGGAGGCAATTTGTGTTCTTCCGACACGCCTTCCCGGTGTGACAGGATGTTCCCCGAGTGTCGGAGAACAAGTTGGGAAACATAATTTTCGGACCACAGCATCATGTTTCCGGACTGTTGCTGTTTCCGCAATGAGACAGGGTTCCCGAAAACATGTTTTCCTCGTGTTGAAAGACAAAGCTCTCCGACTGCTTCCGCAGTGCGACAGGGCCATAATAGCTGCGCTCTAAAAGCTTACTTGAAACAGTTCGTGTATGTTTGCCTCATGCAAATAATTGCATTTAGTATTCGCATTTATTCAACTAAGTTGGCTAGATTACCGTAGTAAATATATGGGGTGTTTGAAGTCACCAGGCTCGATTTAAAATAGAAAGCAAAAATCGACGCCTGCACAGAGCAATCTGAACTTTTCGTCAAAGGTGTACTTTACAGGTCCGTTTTTTCTTGTAAAATTTCAAAACGTAGCTCCCTTTTTGTAAAAAGATAGGGCCAAAAAACTTGCCAGGGTCAATGGTGGGCGGCGATGCAGACGTGAGTCAAGTGGCGGGGCGCGTTTGGCGCGTGTATTGATAGGTGGCGTTGGGAGCAGCGTCGGAAGGTGGAGCCGACAAACGAAAGCAAGCAGACAACACGCGGACAAAATCCGTCGGCAGCAAAAACGCAGTCGCCATGCAACCGCGTCTTCTTTTTTTTTTAACTTCAAGTTTTACTTTTATTATCAGCATTTATTTTTAAACGAAACGTACACTACAAAAAGATTATCTTCATTTTAGTAAATCACGGTCGTCGCGAGCAGTCTCGATACGGAGGTAGCGCCATCTATCAATACGTGTACCAAACGCGCCCCGCCGCTCGACTCAGTCGTCTGCGTCGCCGCCACCGTTGATCCTGGCAAGTTTTTTTTTCCCTATGTTTTACAGGAAGGAAGCTACGCTTTGTAATTTTACAAGAAAAAACTGACCTGTGAAATACACTTTTGACGAAAAGTTTAGATTGCTTCGTGCCGGCGTCGATTTTTACGGTCCATTTTAGATCGAGCCTGATGGCTTTAGACGCCCTATACTTCGACGCTTCTTTGCAAAAGAAAATACCTTGAGAGACAACATTGAAGCTGGAAACGGCTTTATCGAGCTATTTGTTTGAGTGTCCAGAGCGAATTTCTTTTTGCCTCATCAAATTCAAGGTGGAGAGAGAAAAATAAATATTGAAGGCAATATTATTGGAATATTCGGAATCTCAGTTATTTATAATTTTAAGTGAAAACGCTTCCATGGATACGGAAGATTCTTGTCAAGGTAAAGAGAAAAAGACAATTACTCTTTTTTACCGTAAAATAGTAAATAGAAAACAACAACGTAAAACAAATCACAGCGCTGAGTTTATCTTTGTGCGTCGTTCTTCGTTGCGCACACTTGTTGCGAGATACAAATTTGGTATAAACCAGCGATGCAAAAACCGCGCGAAACACGAGGACACATGCAGACGAGAGAATAACACACAGGACACGGCGGTGACTATCAGCGTTCTCATGGGATAAAAGGAGTCGCCTCGAGATACGGGGTCAATGTCGTATTCTCAGCCCGCAACAAACTGAGCAGGATTCTAACCGTGGGGAAAAGAAACGCGCTAACATAAGCAGTCAAACAGACAACAACGAATGGCGCATTAAGCACGGCATGAAGTGCGTACCTCGTAAAAAGGGGATAGTCTATGAAATCCCATTCTCCTGCAGACACTCGTGCATCGGTCAGACGTGGAGATCATCATCATCATCATCATCATCACCATAAACTTTAATAATTGAAAAGTGAAAGGACCTTGCGGTCTCTGGTCGGTGCCCTTAGTCCAGGACTCCGTTGGCCGCCCAGATTCGGCGGGAGCTCGCTCAACCAGTCGTTGCTGGTCATCGAGCTATGTGCCGGATAGGGCCACCTCCTAAGAGGAAAAGGTGGGGGAAGGAATGGGTGTGATACCCTCACTGAGGGGGTCGGAGCATTCCCAGATGGAGTGGTACACGTTGGAGTGATTGCTGCCACATCCCGGATAGGTGCCTGGGTAGTGGTAGGGGAACCAGCGATGTCGCTGGTGGAGGTTAGGGAATGTAAACGTTTGAAGTTGTCGCCAGTCCACTGCCTCCGCACGGGATAGCTCCCGATGCGGAGGGGGCAGGACCGGTCGGGTTGTTCGGTAGTGTTCTGTTACCAGGTGGTAGGTGTTAAGGTGTGTATCGGTTGGGGTACAGAGGGACTGGGACTCCGCGGAGATGCTTAAACATCAGACTTCGCGAACATCACAGTTCGTTGAAAGGTGGAGCATACCCCCATTTGGCACTGCATTGCCGTGACTGCGGCTGTGAACCTCGGTTCAGAGACACAAATATTTTGTACAAACACCAAACTCAGTTGTCTAGGGAGATAATTATAGCAAAAAAGAAAACAACGTGCGTGAGCCAACCATCAGTGAACCTCAGGGACAGTAGGATGGCCTTTTTGGACCTTGGATAACTTCTCTTTCGAAGAAAACGAAAAAGAAGCGACCCTTCACTTAAAGGAAGAGGAGACCCTCAACACTCGTGTTTTCAAAATAAGAAAGTTGATAGTCAGCGCCTTGGCCCTTGTGTAAGTCTCTCCTCTGTGACCTTGTGTTTCACGCTGTTTTTCATCATGAACATATACCAACTATACTCCTTCTCATCCTATGATGGACTAAAGCCCAATGCTACGGGCCTCTGGGTCCAGTCGCAAGTCACTTAGAAACCACGTGGTATATTTGCTCCGTCGGGGTACCGGACATTTCATCGAATGCCATTTCATCGAATGCCGTTTCATCGAATTAGTGGACATTTCATCGAACGCCGATTTATCGAACGCCGTTTCATCGAATCACTTGACGCCGTTTCATCGAATTTCTCTTTATTGAATTTCGGAGTAATACAATACTTTTTACAAAATTAACTATCGCTTTGAAATAGTTTTGACGCCGCTCCATAGTCACCAGAAATATAATTACTACGCGGTCATTTTTTTTTGTCCACCTAAACGTTGGCTACTGAATCATAGAAGGTAGCTATCATATCAAAACTTGAGTGGGTGCGCGACTTATTTTTTTCTGGCGAGGTAGGCGGCTGTTCTCGGCCACACACTTTTTTCCACGTCATCCCTCTATATATTCACGCGTGAAAGACACTTTCTTTAGAGGGAAACAGATATTCTCCGCAGCGCCTTTTTTGTGCTCTTCGTACTCTGAGTATGGGAGTTTCTATCGCGCACTTCTTTGCAATGCAGATGCAAGCTTTCCTGGGGCAGTACTCCACTTACCAGCCTTCGAGACCTAGTCCATCGTAGGGTGAGACGGAGTATAGCCCAACTGTCTATTCTGATGAATCAGTTTCCAAAATCCGAGCCCCCAGCGGCAAAAATGGGAAGTAATAATCTCAAAGGCAGGCTCTTGTGAAGAGAAGGGCTGCGCGTAGAATCAGATTTTTGCTTTTTGCAACACCCTTGGCATTCGTTTTGTCCTTGGACCTTCGTGACTATGCATTTCTGAAAGCGCAGCCTCACTACTGTGTCATCAGGACAAACAATCATGACGGCACCCATGGAACGGAGCAGACGCTAGCAGTGCGTGGCTCTCCCTCTCTCTCAAACCACCCTTTCTAGCACTATCAGCAGGCGGAATACTTCGGCAGGCTGCCTGCCTCAGTGGCATCTTTCCCTGACGAGTTGGGTAACTTTCCAGCGTGCGGCGTGCCTGATATTAGCTATTGCAGTGTTGTATGACCGGCATCGTGTAGCGTCCTTTCCTAGCTCTGTTTGCCTGCATCATTTCTGGATGAAAGTGTTCCGACGTTTGGGAACGTTTGTCTGGTATCGTTTGTTCTCAAATTAAAAAAAAAAAAGAACGCTGTTTGCGCAGTATTTTAATATTCATATCTCTCCAGCAGCTAATATATTGATTCGTTGTTGTATTAGAGCCTTTAAAAGTTGTTAACAGACATTTATACCACACATAAAGTTGTTCAGTAATCATAGAAAAAAAAGGTTGTCATACTTTGTAAAAAAAACAAAAAAACATGGTGGTTTAAACTGATCGTCAAGCGTTAATGAGTTGTCACTTTTACGGCATAATTAAATTCGTAAGTACTGTTTATGCTTATTTAATTTTAAGGCTCAGGAACATTCAAGCAATTTATAGTCAATAACGGTTCTAAATAAAAATTTATGTGGAAAAACTACGTATATAAGGATCGAGTTGAATATGATCCTAATAATATCAATATGATTGTTGGCTTAATTGAAAAAGGTCTATACGATAAACAGTTGGCCAGAGAGCAAAAACAAATTTATAGACAGTTGACTAGACGAATAAAATGAGCAGGTCTTCAAAAAGAAAGACTGCAGTTAATATGGCCATAGACATTTTGCCTCCAATTGAATTACATTTCTAATTCAAATAATGTCGGGAAAGCCGCTCCCATTTCACTGCAAACTACAACAAGCAGAAACTCCCGAGTTCAACGATTATGTAAAGATAAACATCACAGCGCTGAATAATTGAAGCATCAGCAAAGCAAAAATGTCGTATTTGTCTCCCACATCGTACGAAGAAACGAAAGCGACAGCTATAGCGCAAAGCTGGTGGAATGCTGCCGTCACGTACCTGAGGACGGAGGTGCGACGCGCTTCATTCTCACAGCCGACGTGGTTGGCGTCGTGGATGCCACTGACGACAGCCACCAGAGCACGATCCGTTAAAGGAGCTGTGCAACGATATTCAATTGGAATGTTTTTCTCTTACACGAGCTTACTGGCACACCTGGGACTCAAGGATACTCACACGCAACGCCGTTGGCCAAGAAACTCCTTTGTTGCGGTGTAATTTCAAGGACAAGAGCGATCATTTTCATTCAATCTCTCCTTTGCAAAATTTGATGACGTAACTCGGGGATCGCAGTACACCCAAGTGACGATATTTGAATGCGGTTCATAGATTGGAAACGAGCATTGCGTGGGCACTCGATTTGGGCTCGTGATAATTACTACCTCGATAAGCATTCGGGTAGTGGCCCGTGTCCAATCGCTGCAACGACGACAATAGCCGAGCCATAACAATATCTGGAACTCAGCGCGTGCATTGTGCTTTGCCAACCCCAGCGCGTGGCTATGATCTACATTGGCGGCATATAATCGGCTCCAGATCACGTGGCCGCTTGTTCTGGCTGCGAGTTGAGGGGGTGAACGCTGCTCGTTTTTCTTTAATTTTTTTTCTGGAACTTCTATTGCGTGAGGTGCAAAACGAACGCGTGTTTCATAGGTCATTAACGTTAGGGATCCGTTTTAAGCGGTATTTGCGCAAAGTACAAAAATTGTTGCATCGCTCCTTTAAGTAAGTGGGTAAGCACGGTGGAAGTTTCTAAAACGATCCAACATTACGCGTAGGAGCTGGATACTGCCAAAGTGGGGCTTCGCATAACTCGAGTAATGTTTGAAAACAAGTCTTTCAAGCAGACGACACGATGATTCTCCCTTCGTTAAGCAATTCTTGGTGGGACGCCAGTGCTCCCCTCTTTGCTTGTCTTCGCTCGCTTCGCGCGGCATGGACGGCGGACTGGGAGCACGGGGAGTCCCGCTTCCATCTTCTCGCGGAAAGGAAGCAAAGAAAAACAAATTTTTTTTTTTATTTTTTGTTTGCGCGGCGACGACAAGCGGCGAGGACGGAATCTTAGCAAAGTGTCGCCCATGGAGCTATCGCTTTAAAACTGTGTATAGTGAAGTGACAACAATCCGGTATGAGTAATGAACTATATTATCTAGCCTCGGAGTAAATATTTCATCCGGTAGTACGAATCTTGACATAAAAAAGTAGTGCCTACTCCTTATACTATACGTGGATGTTAGCATACCTAATAAAATATGCAATAAAAAACATTGGAGGCACGCGTTTAAGATTTTGATTTCTCCGTTAGCGTCCAAGACTGCGACTCGGCTGTCGGTCTACTGGATTCTACGAGATAATGAAACACCCATACTTCAAAGGAGTTGACTGGGAGAGTTTCAGCAAGTACGTAATTTTATTTGGAATTGATAAACGTGACGGATAAAACGCGATGATTTGCCTAGTTATGCGGAGATGTATGGATGACCAGTCGGACTGGAAAAATATATGGTGAGTGGAAATAGCGTACTGCCATATAAAGGAGTCACCTGCGACAAAGCTAACACGACAATTGTTTGGACAGGCTCTGCGGGAATTTAATATAATCATGAATTTGATTTTCGAACCAATTCACTCGTCTCTTTTATTAGAAAACACGAGTTGTAGTTGTTTACTTTGCAGCTATGTATACTGTAGAACGTGTCTAATGTGCTGTCGGCACTAAGCAAAATTAGCACAAGTGATCGATGAATGGAGCGATAAAATCGCGACCCGCTGCACTGCGCTGTCGCGAATACGCCGAGAGAGAGAAAAAGGCCGGTTCGTTCCCATCTTCCAATCTCGCGGTTGCTCGGCAGACAGTTGACATTTGCAAATGTATTTGTTTAGTAGATAGATACTGCCATTTAATGTACTTTGTAGTTCGACGTCTTAAACCAGATTAAAACAGTAAATAATACAAAATATCGTTTACTATACCACACACAAAAAAAGTTCAAAGCTGCGCATCGCCGGCGAAAGCATGAAGCAGAACAGTGGTCGTTCGAAAGCGCACTTTGTAAACGTCTGTTGTCTATGCGCCTAGAAACTGAGAGAGAGAGAGAAGGGGACGAGAGCGCGCGGGGGGCGTCAGAACGCCGAACTCTGGTTAAAATGATTAGTGGGTAGACAGAAAGCTGCCTTTGTCTCCTCCACTACACTCGTGGAACGCGTTAGAATGCGAGAGCCTAACGTCTGACGCCGACGTTTCGCGTTCTAACGCGTTCGGCGAGTGCAGTAAAGGAGACAAAGGCAGATAGGCTCTTTGTGTCTTCCCACTAATCATTCCAACCAAAGGTCGGCGTTCTTACGTCCCCGCGCGCTCTCGTCTCCTCCTCTTCCTCAGTTTCTCGGCGCAAAGACAATGAACTTTTCTGAAAAGTAGCGCGCGCCCTCAAGCGACGCGCGTGAGGGATTTTGGGAACAGTGAGGGTCGCTGCTCCGTCGTCTGCTGCTAGCGCCGTACCGCCTGCGAGCACCATACGTTGCCTATACGTTTGCGTTGGGTCCCTGTGTATGGCAGACGTCAAACTTTGCAGCTCCCTGTGCTGCGCTGCGTTGCCCACATGAGGCGAGAAACCCTCGATCACAGCACGTCTGTTCACTGCCCTTTTTTGGATGTGCCACCGTTCTTTTCTAAATGGGCCATCGCGCGTGGGCCACGTGCCAAAAGAGCGAGGTATCACTCACGCATCCAACGTCTTTCTTCCTTTATCTTTTGCTACGGTATATAGTTGAGCTAGTTGGTAAATTTTATTTTCCTTCGCCAACAAAAAAAAAATTGTTGTAACAACGTTTGAAGACCGTTAGCTCGCCTAAATGCATGAATGGATTAAGAATGGTGCTGGAGTTCGTGCGGTAGGCGTGCGCCACCCAGCATGCAAAACCTTAGCTAGGCTGGACTTTGCTTGGCTAAAGGGCGCGACACCCTCGCAGTTCCCATAATGCCCCGGAGCGCTCACTGGTGGCGCTGGCACGTCCAGAAAGGTTCATTGTAACAGTGGCGCTTCACTGGTGCCTCATGCGTGCAAGCATGTGCAGCACGCGCGTGAACGTAATAGCAACGACCAGATGCCCTTGTAATGTTTGCATCAAGCATAAAGCGGCACTGCAACTTTCAATCAGCTTCGAGCTGTATAGGCTTGCAAGTCCGGCTTCAGTGCGCTGCCATCTTGTTCGGCTGGGGTAAGCTTGGACGCAGCCATAATCCAATTACGACGCCTTAGCAAGGCTCCCTTATTGAAAAAGCCAGCTTAAGTTGGTCCCAGCTTCAAGCTTGATTATTGCTTCAGCATGCCCAGTTTCGCATGCTGGTTGATCTGGTCATACTGGTCATCCTGGTTGACCTGGTCCCAGCTTCAAATTGAGTTATTGCCCCAGCATGCCCAGTTTCGCATGTTGGTTGATCTGGTCATGCTGGTTAAGCTGGAAAACGTTCCCACCAGTTTAACCAGCTTAAATTGATACACGGGATAAACAAGCCAAACTCTTCAGAAAAGCCAGCTCGGCATACAATTTATTATTTTTGTACTCGCTGCCTGCTCACATGAGCTCAGGTGCTTCAATCCTCTGCGATGCCGACGCACAAACAGTGGTTCTTGGTGCAAAAGAAACAATGTTATTAAAACTAGATTGCTTATCTCTCAACACAAAAATACTAGACACGCCAGAAACAGACAACTACAATAAAAAAAAAAAATATACCACACGGATGAGAGAAGCGAACCTGGGTCCCGCCAGTAATGGGAGCGAAGCGGCCTCTTGTGTGGTCGGCAGAGGCGAGGAAATTCGCGTGGCTTGGATGGCGTTGGCGATACTCCTCGGCAATACCGTCATCCACGAGCATACGCAGGTTCGAAGACACGAAGCGACGCCTCAGTCGGGGCGTCCGATTTCTTCCTGCGCCGAACGGGCTGCCGCCCGCTGTCCAATCAATACCCGTTTCGCTTGCACCGCCGTTCGAGTAGTCTCCAAACAACGCGCACACAGCTGTCCCTTGGAAAATCTGCCCAAGCTAGCCAAACGTGTTTCAAATTCTCCGTTCCTACCACTCTCTCTTCTTTTCGCGCACACTAAGGCAGCTCGCAGCGCGCCTGACGCGCCCGGCCGTCTACCAAAAACGAGAGGACGAAGAATAGGACATGGCTTTGTCTTAGCCCAAGCCGAACTTGGCGCGCGCTGCCAGCGATGCTTGTTCGACCATCTCTAGTTGGCCTTGGCGTGCGCACTCCCAGCAAGACCAGCTTGAACACCCCAATTAGGAGTTCGACCAGCTTCATTAGCTTGTCTCCCAGCTTGGCCAGCCTGTTTCCCAGCTTCACCAGCATGTCACCAAGCTTGACCACATTGACTCCATGGAAAACTAGCTTGACTAGTCTAAACCAGACTCGATCCCAGCTCCACCAGCTCCACCTCAACGTATTGACCAAGGCGATCCACCTCTCCTCCACGCACCCGAAATGCCGAGAGGAAACACAAAGCAGGGAACTACCGACTAAATCGCGTCGCGCGCTGTCAATATTGCCCCAAAATATTTTTTTCGCGTAAAATTTATTTTTTGACACGTATGTCCCAACTATATATATATATATATATATATATATATATATATATATATATAAATATATATATATATATATATATATATATATATATATATATATATATATATATATATTTGTTTTATTTTCTGTGGCCCTTTAAGGAGATTTTTTCAGTCTGGCAACCACAGCAGCGCGACAACCGGGCGAGGGCTACTTCATTCTGCCATTTTGTGGTTCTGAAAGGTATTCTTTCGGATTTCTCAGGAATGAAGAAGAGAGAGAAGTAACGCCGCTTGCGTTATAACGATATTCGCTGGTTCTAGCGGGAAACAAGTACTGGTTTTAGCGAGCAACAATTACTGGTTTTAGCGGACAACACTGATTCTGTCGGGCGAAATACACTGGTTCTAGCGGACCACTGAGAGAATTCGGCCCATTGGCTAAACTCTATCAGTATGAACGGCTCTGTTGAGAGTTCCGGGGCTATCGATCTCCCCCTGCTTCAAAGATGCCGCCCGCCAAGCAAACTGGTCCCCGCCGTGCTGTTTCCTAGAGAGCTTTGTTTCCGCGACTGCAGTGTAACGTATCACCCTTTCGCCAGCCTGCAGCTGCCTTGACTGTCAGTCCTTTGTGCGCTAATTTTTTTAATGCCGACTGTACCAGAAGCCGACGAGCAGCACAAAGCGCGCGGTTGAAACCCAACTGGGACAAGCGGACTTTTGACGCTTTATGGGCTCTCGTGCGCGTTGCATTACCGCCGCCTGTATACTGATAAATGCTAAATGAGGACGAAGAGCCGTGACAAAGCGAGCGTAGCTGCTATGCGGAGAGCAAGTCGTCCGCTGCTTGCGCAGGAGTTGCGGTGACGTCAGAACGACGCCGAGCTCTGACTGGTTTCGATTGGAAGGACGGTGGGTAGACCTCAAGGCGGCTAGCAGTGAGGTCTACCCACTATCTCCTCACCAGAGCCAATCAGCGCTTGGCGTTCTGACGTTACAACAACCCTTCCAAAAGAAGCGGATGAACTTGCGCCCCGCATAACATTATGATTTATAGTTTACTGTAATTAGATCTATCCTAATGCTTACACGTACCTGCGGTCAACTATCGAGAAAAGGATCCAACTGTCGCGCCCCTAGTGGCTAAATCAAGAACTACACTGATGGGTACAAGAACAACATACGTAGATTACCATGCATCCACCCATTCCCAAATTTGTAGGATCTGAGAAAATACGCGCAGTATATTTTTATGTACAATTGGTGACCGGACGAGCGCGCATCCCCCATTTCTTTATGAGTATCTCCAAAGATTGAGTGGACGCTTGCCCGGTGTTTTACGGTAGTTGATTTGTTTGTGTTTTGACGCAGCGCTAAGCCGAACGTTGGGTCAGCGTTTAGCTGGGGCTCGTGTTCGATGAGTGAGGCCTAACGGAAACGCACCACTCATGTTTTCTTTTTTTTTTTTTATCTTGTTTGAGCGTGGGAAAAAACTTGGGCACGAGTCGTGCCAAATCTTTGCCCTGCGCTCAATCGAGAAAGATGAAGTAAAGAATCCAGTGCGTGGGCCAATGGTGTTAGTGAACATAAAGTTCTGGGAAAAACAAGCTCAATATAGTGCCACTTATAGTGCGATCTTCTTGTTAAGAAAAAGATAGTTCTGTTACAAAAGGTAAGGGCGCAAACGAGCTGGTGGTGGTTAAACATTTCGACAAAAACCCCGACACTGGGACAAAAAGGGACGGACAAACACAAAGTCTCAAGCACAGCTGAATTTTATTTGACAAGGAAGGGTGCTTATATAGGCGTCAAATCCTACACAAAT